TCTTTCTCCATTCATCTATGGATGGGCACTTGGGCTGCTTCCATAATTTGGCTATTGTAAATAATGCTGTACTAAACATAAACTTAACCTGTATTTTTCTAATCATCAAAGTCAAGAATGACACTTCTTTTTGACTCTCTCCTTTAGTGATGAAAACTCAGCATACTTTAATTTCCTGTTTCTCTGATGTGCGTCCCTATTTTTGGTAATATAATATGGGGGCTATTGTTAATATCTTAATATTAATTTAATACTTAATGTGGTAATGATTAAATCTCTTTAAAATAATTTTGATTTAATACTCAGTCATGTAACCATGTTTAGAAAAATTATTTCAGTTCACTATCAGGCCTCGGACTGGGGTGAGGTGTATGAGGCACTCACCTTGAGCACAAATTTAAGGGGTGCCAAATAATTAAGATAATGATCCTTTAATGACATATTTCTGAGCCAAAATTAATGCAGAAATAATCCAGGATGAACAAAATATCAAAATTTTAAGTTAAGACAGGATTCAATGCAGCGAGGCAAGGGAGACTGAGTCTTGCAAGACTTTTTCCATTAATTTTGGTTTTAAAAATATTGTGTGAAAATGTCATTTATCCTGATTACTGAGTGTCTTGTTGGTGCCACTTTAAAATTTACACCCGAGGGGAGTGTCCTTCTTACTTCCCCTGACACTGCAGCTCTGCTCTGCTCTGTGTTTAATGGGGTTCAGTCCTTTTAATACACAATTTTCCAGCCTTGAGTTCCTGATTCTGCTTCTTTTCTTCATGTGTTGGTACATGTCCTCAAGTAGTTTTTTCCCACAGAGGGTGGAAACTTAGTTCTGAGTCTCTGAGGTGCTCCGGGAAAGCATACAGTGTGTAAAGTTTAAGAGTCTGGGTGCTAGAACCAGGCTGCCTCAGTTTTAATCTTGATTCTACCACTTACCAGCTATTTGTGCCTCTATTTCTTTATCTGACAAATGGGCATAATAGTAAGACCTACCTCATGGGTCATTTTTAGTATTAGATGAGTTAACACATGTAAGTTGCATACAGTAGTCCTTGCTACCTCGAAAGAGCTTCTTAGCAGAGGAAAGATCATTTGGCTGCAGACAGCATTATCCCCTGGCCCCTCACCCCGCCCCCAAATCTGTAGACTTTTGTTTGCATTCCTCTCTTCACCTGTTCACCTTCTGACATCTAGTGTTGTAGCAAAATTCAAAACTAGTTTATTTTCCTTTAAGGCAAGTCTAACTTTTCTGCCTTAAATGATTGGGAAAATATTCTCTTGATTTTTATTATTCAAAAATATTGCCAAACTTCATGAGCTAGGCCATACATTGTAGTCTACTTTCATATGAGTTTGAAATTCCAGCAATGAAAAGCCAAAAAAAAAAAAAAAAAAAAGATTTCCAAGCTGTGTGTAGATGTGTCTTTTCCCCATTGTCTTTGCTGGAAAGTGGTAGACTTTACCAGCGCACCCAAGCTCTCTCTTCTGCTCAGTCTGTTTCTTCTGCCATTATTTGTTGTTTCTGTCCCATTGACCTGATCTCTGTCCATCAGGGTCTCTTGGATCTCTGTTGTGTATTCTGCTTAAGATGCTCTCTCCCTCTCTCTCTGCTGGGGAGGGAGAGAGCATCTTAAGCAGGCTCCACAGTGGCCGACAAGGGGCTCAACCTCACGGCCCTGAGACATGACCTGAGCCAAAGGCCTTACATGAGAAATTTCAGAGATGGATTCTTCCTCTAAGCTTTCTGAGGATTCCACTTCTTTTCCCAAGCTCTATATAATCTATCTCATTTACTCTGTTTTTTAATTTAATTTAATTTAATTTTCTTTATTTGAGAGAGAGCTAGCGGAGAGAGCACGAGTGGCGGGGCGGGGCGTAGGGGGATGGAAAAGCAGGCTCCCTGCTGAGCCGGGAGCCAGACATGGGGCTTGATCCCAGGACCCTGGGATTATGACCTGAGCTGAAGGCAGACGCTTAACTGACTGAGCCACCCAGGCGCCCCTATCTCATTTACTCTGTTAGAATTTTCCTCCTACATCCTCCAATGAGGCAGGCCTAGCCAGACTTCCAAACTAAGTGATCTTTTTTTTTTTTAGAAGATTTTATTTATTTATTTGAGACAGAGAGAATGAGAGAGAGAGAGTGAATGAGAGGGGGGAGGGTCAGAGGGAGAAGCAGACTCCCTGCTGAGCAGGGAGCCCGATGAGGGACTCGATCCAGGGAGTCCAGGATCATGACCTGAGCCGAAAGCAGTCGCTTAACCAACTGAGCCACCCAGGTGCCCTAAGTGATCATTTAATAGAGCACCTGGATTGGCCTAGGATGGGCTTCTCTCTGGTCCTCACTCACTGATTCTTTGATATGCTGAATCCATAGAGTATCCAGAAGACTACATTCCCCAGCATGCATTGCTACCTTCTCTCTTCCTGTCCTGGTTTGTGTCTATTCCTGAATGCAGTGTGTCACTGCCTGTGGGACTCTACTTCCTGCCCCATTGTCTCCTGGATTATCATCTCTGAATGATGGTGGTATGGAGGGGAGGGAGGGACAGAGTTGAGGTGTAGAAGTAATGAAGGGAATATTGTCCCAATCACCTAGGCAAGCAGATCTTATTTTTCCTTAGTGCTTCTTAAGTTTTCCTAATTACTCTAGAGGAAATTTACTACTTGCATAATTTTTTTTTTTTTTTAGAAAAAGTAGTACTCCTGTATTGATAAGACAGCTGCTCAGTACTTAAGATCTGAATCCAACTTGCAGTTGCTGATAAGGAGTTGGTCAGCAGGACAGGTGTAAGAAGTCTCTTCCTACCTTTCTCATGGCAGATTCTGGTGTCTTGAACCTTGGGTTGGTTTTCTTAGTCCAGCCCCATCCGCCTTTTTATTTATGGGGATTCCTCCCAAGTCTGGTCTTAGCTCATCCTTCAGCCTTTGGTTTTTAGTATTGTGAGTTTTCACCTTTTTAAAAATGATATCAAGAACTGATAATATAGATGCTATTTTGCCATTAAAAAAGGTAAAACACCCATATTCAGAAATTTACCACCTTAACCATTTTTAAGTATATAGCTCAGTAGAGTGTTGAGTACATTCACATTGCTGTGTAACCAACCTCTAGAACTCTATCTTGTGAAACAAACTCCATACCCATTAAACACTAATTCCCCATTCCCCTCCCCCCAGCCCCTAGCAACCACCATCCATTCTACTTTCTCTCTTTTTGCTGTTTCTTATTTCTTAACTTTTAGGAGGTTGTGAAATGCACATTCCTTTTGAAATTTACTGTCTGTGAAAATCTTAATAGTCATTCATTCATTTTGGCACATAGTTATTGAGTGCATACTCTTTGCCTGACCATATTCTAGGTTCTGGAGACCCAGCCCTGAGCAAGGGCAGTATTGTCTCTGCTTTCAGGAGCTGACATTCTAGGGAGGAGAGAAACACAGTAGACCAACAAATGAGCAGGGTGAGTTCAGATAGTGCTAAGTGCTGTGAAGACAGTAAACTGACTGATGGGGCTGGGGGTGCCTTTGGGGCGATGCTTTGGCTGGGGAGGTCCCAGGGGGCTTCCCTGTGCAAGTGATATTTGAGTCAACCCCTGGATTTATGAAGGAGACCTCTCCCCCATGTAGAAGAACTGGAGGGGTGGCGTTTGGAGCAGATGGAAGGGTGTGCACAAAGGCTCTTGACCTGAATGAACTTGGCTCACTTGAGGAATGGAAAGAATACCAGCATGACTTGAGCACAGTGAGCACTGGGGAGAAAGTGAAATGAGACCGGGCAGTCTTGCAAGCCAGGCAGCTAGATTACGTTCCAGTTGCCATGAGAAGCCACTTGAGGTTTTTAAGCCACAGCTATGTGATCTAACACTTGACATTAAAAAAAAAAAATTCTGCATAAAAATATGCTTGTGTTGGATAGTAGCATACACACTCAGCATGCATACAGCCATCTCAACTGGCTCTGTTATTTTGTTTCTATCAACCAGAGTCTCCCAAGGTGTTGAGAGTCTGGGATACTTGTCAATTTTTCTTTGAGTAACTCTAACGAAAAGGCTAATTAACGGATAGGATTACTGATGGAACTTCAGAGACCCTGCGTGGTCAAGTTCTAGTTCATGTAAGGCAGTATCCACTTCAGCCTACCTTTTCTTCATCCCTTATCCTTGCTCTTAGATGGAGAACACAGTCTCCAGGGGGAGGGTCAGCTGAGTTTGAGACCTATTCTTATTCCAGTGGTAGAATTGATAAAGGAATCCCCTGTGTTTACTCCTGTCCCCACTAATAAGCATACCTAGAGAGTCTATAATAACACTTGACTCCTAAATAAACAGTATTAGAATTAAAGAAGTCTTTTTTTGTTTCCCCCCAGGGTTGAGGGAGGATTAGTAAAATGCCTTTGGTTTATCAGACTGGTGTTTATAAACGTGTTTCTTGCTAGAATGGAATGAACAAGAGTCCTTCGTGTTGGGGCTTCCGGACTTCTGCCCTAGCAGCCACATCTACCCGGGGCGGGGGGTTGGGGGGGGTGGTGGCGAGGCACATGATGCCGGCAACTTTGCAGGTCATTATGCCGATTGGCAATTAAACCACAATTTGAGCAGCTCCTTTCTGATAAAATTTGCCTTGTTGTTTATTCTAATGTTTTAATGATAAATATCTTTATATAAATATTTTTTCTTAAAAAATTAAGAAAAACACTTTTAAGAAAATCTGGCTTTGGTGAATGCGATTTTTTTTTTTTTTTTTTTTTTTTGCCCAAGGATGGGGAAAGAAACAGCCTATGGTAATAATTCTGGTACTGCCATCATACAGAAACTAGTTTATAAATAGATCCAAATCCACACTTGGTACCTCGTTCAGAACAAGCCTGCTTAAATTTACCATAGTCCGCTTCAAATTGGGCCCATTTCAAGTCCGTCTCCTTATACAGTGGGGTACACATATTCTTGAGCTGTAAATGTTTAAGTTGGAACATACTTGGCATCATTCTCGGTCTTTATTGCAGAGAACATCCTGGGATGGCACGGGCCCAAGTCACATTCCACAGAGCAGCTGAAAAATGGGACCCTTGGCTCTTTGCCATCAACCAGTGCCAACATAACCTGGGCGATTTTACCAGACTCCGCTGCAGAAGAGCAAAGCTTGCCGCCAGAGCCCGAGGTAAGCGAGCCGTTAGTTCTCTCTCTGCACCCGTGTGGCTTGTGTTCTCGCTTGTTCAGAAATGTAGTAATTATATTTGTAACTTGCTCATCTCTTTGTTTGAAGAGGAGACAAATTATAAAATGGACACATTGCCTGGAGTGACAAAATCGGCTCTGGGCACGCCTGGCACTTCTGTTCTTGTGTCTGGCAGCTGCCGTGGCTGAAATGTGATCCTACCAATGAGGAATCTCCTATTTTCATTGAAATGGGAGTCATTTTAACTTCAAGTGGGAGAAATTCAAACGCACGCATTAAAATGATACCTGTTGACATGCTGGGAGCAGTTACAATATATTATGTCGCTCCCCTGAATAATGGCTTCTTCATGTGGTTCGTGCTAACATCAGCGCCTGCCTCACACGCTCGACCCCTGCATGCGTCCCCGGGGCCATGGTTGAGACTCCTGGGCCTCCCCTCCAGCTGCGGGGACTCCTGCCCTGCCGGGTCAGGGTCGGGGGCGGGTGGGGGGGCGGTGGCCCCTGCAGAGCCTCCCGATGAGCCAGGCCTCGGCAGGCTCCGTGGACTGCCCCCTGCCCACAAGCTTCTCCCGACTAACCGTGCCTCCCAGTGACCACTGGAAGGGAGCCACACACAGCGCGTCCTCCTGTCGATTTCACTTTGTGTCGCAAGGGAACTTCTATATTTTCTTTTCTGTTTGATGCACGCATTCTCTCTGCGGGACCTTGTGAACTGGGCTGAGCCATACCTGACTCACGCGTTAGAGGTTGTTCTTAATTCTTTTTTTTTTTTTTTTTAAAGATTTATTTATTTATTTGAGAGACCGAGAAAGTACATGAGAGCGGGGAGGGTTAGAGGGAGAAGCAGGCTCCTCGCTGAGCAGGGAGCCCGATGCAGGACTCGATCCAGGGACTCCAGGATCATGACCTGAGCTGAAGGCAGTCGCTCAACCAACTGAGCCACCCAGGCGCCCAGAGGTTGTTCTTAATTCTAACTGAAATCCCCTTAGCCTGAAAAATGTAGGGTGCTCATAAAATCTGTTGGGGAAGGTCGAGAGCCCCAAGGCAGCTGCTTGGGTCCAGTGGTCTTGGTTATCAATTGAAAGTTTTTTCCAAGCTTCACATTATCATATTCTGGGACAGGGACTTTGGTAGCTTGGCTCTTACAGAGGTAGGGTCATCCTGCCTACAAGTGTTCCATTAGCATCTATAAGGTGCCTTCGCAGGGTATGAAACGAATAGGGGATGTGAGATTCTCAAAGGCACTTGCCTCTGCCTGTACCAGGAGTTTCAGTTTGAAACACTCGCAGCTGATGTGTAGGTGAACTGGCAGGTAAGTTGGTGACAGAATAAATGGTGGGAGCCCCACCGTCCTATTGCTCTTTTGAGAGCCTTGGCAGCTGGCGGGGGGCGGGGGAAGTTGGCATTTGAGGGTGAGGTGCTTAGCCGCTCAAGAGTTGAAAACTACGATAATATCCTTCATTCCCTTGGCAGAGAACCTTTGGGGTTCACGTCATAATAAATACATTTAAAATCTTGCTCTAGGGAAGAATTAAGAGTAGGGAAGTAAGTTATTAGATCTTCAGTAACAATTTTATAGGATCTCATTCCCAGCAGCCTTCTTGGGCAAAACCCAACAGAAGCCATAACCTAAGAAGCTTACTTATTAGGACTGGTGTCCACCCCCATTCTGGGAATCCTTCTGCGTGTTTTTTCTGCTTTTCCTCTAATGCTGAAGCTCGAGAGGCCAGGCCTGACCTTTTTACTTAAAATTGTTGCTCTCTTTGCCTTTCCAGTCACTGGCATTGACAGAAGAGTATATAATTGTCCACAAGAAAGGACTAGCTTCCAGGTTCAACTTTTTAAAAATACTTTGAAAGAGAAGAACTAGGGAGAACTTTTTTTACCCTTACGTTATAAACAGCATCAATTTCTGGTTGTCGTATTACCTTTACTCCAGTCAGAGCGGTGTAAGGTATTGGTAGGTAAGTCCTCATAGCAGGGAGGACTTATGGGGACATGATGGTATTTTGATGGTTTTCGGAGAAGGGAGAGTTTGAGACTCCTTCCATTTTTTCCAATGACTGCTGTGGTAGATGCTTCTCACAACCCCAACAGCTAGTGTTGGTTGGATACTATTTTTACTTTAGGCCATTGTGCTTTGTCACTTTTTTTTTTTGTTTTTCTTTTGAGAACTGAGGAAGCTAGCAATATTGACCCAATCATTTTCCTGTCAGAAAAAGGAAAATGTTTCCATTGCCTCCTTTTTGCACAATTTGGAGAGATAACCCAAGAAGGAGTGAAGTGAAATTCCTAGAGGCTAAACATTCCTTGTGAATATGTTCCTTAACCCTTCAGTATAGAGAATGGGTTACTATGTGAGTGATCACCAGTGAAACTCAGGATTGTAGTTATTGTGGCACTTTAACTGAGTAAACTATTTTCTTCTGGTTTGCTGCTTGTTTTAAATCTTTAGAAGCAATAATTAGGGTATACAAGGTGTACCTCCCTCCGATGGGTGTGTGCTTTTTTAATACCAGCAAGCAATTAATTCAATCCAGTTCTCACTGGACACAGACTTGGCATCATACAGTTCAGTTCAACTCTGACATGGTCTCCCTGGGGAGAGCTTCGCATCCCACAGGTGAAGGGCTCAGCCCCACAAGACTGTCCTGCCCCTCGACCCCCCCACACACACCTTCAGCCAATCACAAGTTCAGGTCACCTGTGCTTCTGCCAATGGGCTATAGATCAGAGGTTCTCATGACCCCCTCCTTGGGTTTTCATAATTTGCTTGAGTGGCTCACAGAACTCAGCGAAACACTTCCCAGTTTATTATAAAAGATTAGAATTCAGGAACAGATGGAAGAGATGCTTGGGGAAGGCACGTGAGCTGCCATGACCTCCCCAGCAACCCCCCCAGCACCTCCCCAAGTACACCAACCCGGAAGCTCTCTGAACCTTGTTGTTTTGGGGTTTTATGGAAGCTTCATTCCAGAGGCAAGATTGATTAAATTGTTGGTGACAAAACTCCACCTCCCCCAGCCCCTCCCCAGAAGTCAGGGGGTGGGACTGGAAGTTGCACCCCTCTAATCATCGTGTTAGTTCCACTGGAGACAGTCACCATCCTTAGGTTCCCAAGGGGCTTCTAAAGGTCACTCATTAATGTAACAAAAGACACCTTCATCTCTCTCATCCCTTCAGGAATTCCAAGAGTTTTAGGAACACTATGCCAGGAATGGGGACAAAACCAAATATATATATTTCTTGTTATAAATCACAGTGTCAAACTCCCTACCCTAGTGCTGGCTTTACTGTAAAACAGCTTACAGATACCGGGAAAATTAATGCATTTTCAAGCTTCATCTGTTTAATTCCCAGCAGAATAAAACTCAAAGACCAATGTGTATTTAATACATGAGTTAGAGCAGAACTGTAGTTGGCTCTATTATCAAGTGCAGTGATCTTAAAATTCTATTCTGCTGGGGCTAGAACTAACTATATGGGAAAATGAAATATTCTTCCATAATGAAATGAGTTAGGATCTTGGTTTTACCCATTAGCAGAACAATTTTTCAAGTCTCTTAGCACCATTTGAAATTTAAATTTAGACAGAAAAAGGTTTTTGTTGTGCTATCTTTGGGGAAGAATGCCTTGTACCAGGACAGGGAGAACTGTGATGGGGAGATACTGGGATTGGCTCTCTTGACCTTCATTTCCACCCTCCTGATGGGAAACCTAACAACTGCATGTCCAAGAATTTCTTACAGTTAGGTTTCTGAATGCATGACAGGTCCCATAAATGCATTTGTGTGAGATTTGGAAGGCTGAGATGGAGACCAAGTTTCCTCTGCTGGTGCTGCTGGTGCTGCTGGTGGGCAAGGTCATGGGGATGTGGGTGTTCCGAGGCACTCGCAGGGACCAGATGCATTGTCCTGGGGCCTTAGGCCCACCTATGCGGACGTGACAAGCTGTTGGGTTGGCAGCAGCGGCCACTTCCCAACACTGGGATCATGACTACCTACCGGGGTGTGTCCTTGAAATAAAGAGTTGAAAGGGGACGTTGCTCCTCCATACCTTTCAGAGATTCTGTAAGCACCTAATTCCCATACCCAGTCCCTTTCTGATTGAAATACCTGGTGTGGTTTCTGTTTCCTGCTGTGGATCAAGACTGGGTGAGCCATTGGAATAGGAAAGCCGAGGGTGACATGGAGACAATCACAAATGTGACTGTGTATACCTACCTTTCTGAAGGGACAGAATCTTAAGATTTCTAAAAGTCAGTTTTATTGAGGCATAACTCAGGAATAATAAAAGTCACCCTTTTAAAATGCAGTTTTATCACTTTTAAGCCCATTAAAATATGGAATAATTCTATCACTTTCCAAAATTCCCTAGTGTTCCTTTATACTTAAGCCCTTGGCAGTCCTCTTTTGTTTTCTGTCCATATAGCTTTGCCTTTTCTGAAATGGCATTTAAATGAAATCATATAGTATGTAGCCTTTTTAGTAGGGTTTCTTTTGTTTAGTAGAATGCATTTGTGATTCATCCATGTTGTTATATTAGTCAGTGGTTCATGCCTTCTTATTGCTGAATAGTATCCATTGGATTCAGAGTTTGTTTATCCTTTCACCAGATGAAGAACATTTGGTAAACTTAACTTACTTGAATCCCCCATGGATAAAATAGAAAAAGGGAAACGTTTAATATAGTGTTGTATTAATCATATAAGACAGATATTTGGTGCCCATATACCTACCCCCTGGTCTGGAGGGAGAAGATGGAGGGTCAGTTCTATTTATCTCTCTATTGGAGACCCTGCACAGAGGGTTTTATTTATTTATTTATTTTTAAAAGATTTTATTTATTTATTTATTTGAGAAAGTGAGAATAAGAGAGAGAGAGAAAGAGAGAGCACATGAGGGGGGGAGGGTCAGAGGGAGAAGCAGACTCCCTGCCGAGCAGGGAGCCCGATGCGGGACTCGGTCCTAGGACTCCAGG